AAGCTATTCTCCTGCCTCAGCCTCCCGAGTAGCTGGGATTACAGGCATGTACAAGTATGCACCACCATGCCTAGCTAATTTTTGTATTTTTATTTATTTATTTATTATTTATTCATTCATTCATTTATTTATTTTTTTGAGGCAGAGTCTAAGTCTGTCACCAGGTGCCAGACTGGATGCAGTGGCACGACCTCGGCTCACTGCAACCTCTGCCTCCCAGGTTCAAGCAATTCTCCTGCCTCAGCCTCCTGAGTAGCTGGGACTATAGGCGCGTACCACCATGCCCAGCTAATTTTTTTGTATTTTTAGTAGAGACGGGGTTTCACCATGTTGGCCAGGATGGTCTCAATCTCTTGACCTCGTGGTCCACCTGCCTCGGCCTCCCAAAGTGCTGGGATTACAGGTGTGAGCCACCGCACCCGGCCCAATTTTTATATTTTTAGTAGAGACAGGGTTTCACCATGTTGGCCAGGCTGGTTTAGAACTCCTGGCCTCAGGTGATCTGCTTGCTTCGGTCTCCCAAAGTGCTGGGATTACAGGCATGAGACACTGTGCCTGGCCTTAACAATTTTTGTAGATACAGAGTCTCACTATGTTGCCTAGGCTGGTCTTGAACTCCTGGGCTCAAGCTATCCTCCTGCCTCAGCCTCCCAAAATGCTGGGACTACAGCCATGAGCCATCACACCCATTCTGAATGCTTACTGTTACATGTTTTAGGAGCAAGAAATGCGGCATGTAAGATGGCATACCTAAAACTAAAAATGTATTTAGAAGTTGGTTTTTGGGTAACCGCATACCTTTTCTTAGGAAGAAATATTTCTATGAATTTTTTTCTCTCTTTTTTAATTATTTTTTTATTTTGTGAGACAGAGTCTCACCCTGTCACCCAGGTTGGAGTGCAATGGTGCAATCTTGGCTCACTGCAACCTCTGCCTCCCAGGTTCAAGTGATTATCCTGCCTCAGCCTCCTGAGTAGCTGGGATTACAGGTGCCTGCCACCACCACATTGGGCTGCTTTTTCTATCTTTAGTAGAGACAGGGTTTTACCATGTTGGCCAGGCTGGTCTTGAACTCCTGACCTCGTGATCCACCTGCCTCAGCCTTCCAAAGTGCTGGGATTACAGGTGTGAGCCACTGTGCCTGGCCTTCTCCTTTGAATTTTTTACTAATGTGACTTCAACTAGGAGAGATTTACAGAACTTTCTTAGTCCTTCCAGTATTTCTGCAGACTGACTTTGCCTAAATATGGATTAAATTCCTATTATGTAGGGGAGATCATGAAGCCATTTTGACTATCCTTTAAACTTACTGAAGAGGCAAGGCATGGACTGACACCTGAAATGTGTTCTCCTAGGCTTGGAAACTTTGGAATAGTGACTATAAGGTCAGAACATACATACTGATAAAATATGTATAATTATGTATGTTCCGATCTTATATTCATACATACTTATAAAGCATTGTCAGTGAGCAGTCAGCCTTCAGCTTTCCTGAAGCACACCCATTCAAAGAATTAAAGGGCTCTAGGGGGAATTTATGATGTGGAATTTCCCAGAGCCAGATAGCATTAGCATGAGAGGATCTATCAGCCCAAACTTGGGAAGTGGGATTTCATATTTGAAATTTTCTTTTTCGTTATCCCTAAGGAGATTAATTAGATGCCAGTTGACTTTGTGCTTTGTAGTCTTTCTTGTTTTATTTTTGAGACAGAGTCTTTGCTCTGTCTCCCAGGGTGGAGTACAGTGGTACAGTCTTGGCTCACTGCAAAACCTCTGCCTCCTGGGTTCAAGCAATTCTCCTGCCTCAGCCTCCTGAGTAGTTGGGATTACAGGCACGTGCCACCATGCCCAGCTAATTTTTGTATTTTTAGTAGAGACGAGGTACCACCATGTTGGTCAGGCTGGTTTCAAACTCCTGATCTCGTGATCCACCCACCTCGGCCTCCAAAGTGCTGGGATTACAGGCGTGAGCCACCCCGCCCAGCCCGTAGTCTTCTTAGCTTGCTTGCAGGCTTTAGTTATGCTCTTAGATTTTTTTTTTTTTTTGAGACGGAGTTTCGCTCTTGTTACCCAGGCTGGAGTACAATGGCGCAATCTCAGCTCACCACAACGTCCGCCTCCTGGGTTCAGGCAATTCTCCTGCCTCAGCCTCCTGAGTAGCTGGGATTACAGGCACACGCCACCATGCCCAGCTAATTTTTGTATTTTTAGTAGAGACGGGGTTTCACCTTGTTGACCGGATGATCTCGATCTCTTGACCTCATGATCCACCCGCCTCTGTCTCCCAAGTGCTGGGATTACAGGCGTGAGCCACTGTGCCCGGCCTATGCTCTTAGATTAACATACTTAGCTTGACTTGGTCTAGTGCCAGAGGAGTCTTGCTGTTTTTGGTGTACTTTTCCTAAGTGTTGAATTGTGTTGGGTTTGGTTGTTGTTTGACATGGAGTCTCTTGCTCTATCACCAGGCTGGAGTACAGCAGTGCAATGTCGGCTCACTGCAACCTCTGCCTCCCAAGTTCAAGTGATTCTCATGCCTCAGCCTCCTGATTAGCTGGGATTAAAAGTGTGTGCCACCACACCCAGGTAATTTTTGTATTTTTAGTTGAGACAGGGTTTCACCATCTTGGGCAGGCTGGTCTTGAACTCCTGACCTCAAATGATCCTTCTGCCTCAGATCCCCAGAGTGCTGAGATGACAGGTGTGAGCCACTGTGCCTGGCCTGAATTGTGTTGGTTTTAAAGCAATTTCCTGAAGCTATCTAAAAGGCTCTCAGCAAAATCCTTTTTGAAGTAGCTTTATTAATGAAAAGTAAAGCCACATGTAGAATTTAACAAGTGAGCAAGTACCATTCATTTAAGTGACAGTTACCAAGTGCCTTTATCAGAACACAGTGTTTGATGAAGATGACAATAAGAATTTCCCTCATTTACACGTCCCCAGAACCCAAGGAAGTGCGTGCTTTTTCACTGTGTTTCCTTTTGTTGTTTTGAGACGGAGTTCCGCTCCTGTTGCTCTTGTTGCCCAGGCTGGAGTGAGCCACTGTGCTGGCCCTTCACTTGTTTCTAGATAAGGAACCAAGTGGCTAGATAACTGGAGGGTAGTTGGATGGAGATTTGGGCATGCTCTGTGGAACTCTGAGGCTGTATTGCCTCCTGTCTCTGCTTTTCCCAGAGATCCTACAAAACTCACTGAAATCTGACATCGATTCCTGCTCAGAGGAGCCCAGCTGATTGGGTGCCATGGGAGATCAGTCAGGCTCGGGCTTTACAGGACACTTTTAAAAGTACATTCTCACAAATTAAATCTCATCTATTCAGTAAACATGTATTTTGTGCCGGGTCTGGTGCTGGGTGTGGGGATGCAGCGGTGAGTCCTGAAAGGAGACTCATTTTTTGGAGAGGCAGACATCGGAGAGTGCAGTGACAGGGGGACAAAAGAGGGCAATGAAGAATTAGTCCTTCAGCAAGACTAGAGCTTGTGGAGCATGGGCAGTTGGCATGACTCTGGAGTCTAGCTGAAGTCAGGCAGGGGACAAGAAGGAGTCTTGAGGAGATGGCCACGATCTGGACTTGAGGCTTTGCTTAGGCAAAGGAAGTAGGTGCACTATCCTAGGCTTGGCGCAAGTGTGCATGGAAGGCAGGCGTGCGGCATGAAGGCATGCAGTGTGTTTCCTTTGGGCATGAGTGGTGGGTGTGACCTTGGAAGGGAGACTCGGGGGTGACGGCCTGCTTCAGCTGCTGTCTGAGCAAGTGTGACCTTGAACTCCATGTGGTTTGTTTGGGACTTGTACAGTGTAAGCACTTCTTGAAGGATTCTGACCTTTCTTTTTCTTTTTTATTTTTTTTCCACTGCTCCCTCAATATTCTGACCTTTCTTTTTTTTTTTTTGAGACAGAGTCTCGCTCTGTCACCAGGCGCCAGGCTAGAGTGTAGTGGCGCGATCTCGGCTCACTACAATCTTCGCTTTCTGGGTTTAAGCAATTCTCCTGCCTCAGCCTCCCGAGTAGTTGGGACTACAGGCACGCGCCACCATGCCCAGCTCATTTTTGTATTGTTTTAGTAGAGACGGGGTTTCACCATGTTGACCAGGATGGTCTCGATCTCTCTCTTTTTTTTTTTGAGACAGAGTTTCGCTCTTGTTACCCAGGCTGGAGTGCAATGGCGCGATCTCGGTTCACCGCAACCTCCGCCTCCTGGGTTCAGGCAATTCTCCCGCCTCAGCCTCCTGAGTAGCTGGGATTACAGGCATGCGCCACCATGCCCAGCTAATTTTTTGTATTTTTAGTAGAGATGGGGTTTCACCATGTTGACCAGGATGGTCTCGATCTCTTGACCTCGTGATCCACCCGCCTCGGCCTCCCAAAGTGCTGGGATTACAGGCGTGAGCCACCGCGCCCGGCTGTTTTATTCATTTTCATGTTCCTTACCCCTAATACAAGGACCAGCATAAATAATAAATGTTTGTCTCATAAATATTGAATAATGAGGTTCAAGGGGGATAAAGCTCTATGCTTTCACTTTCTGGCATTTTCTGTATGACTCTCAATTGTTTTGCTACAGATTTTGAATATTGGTTTAAAAATGATATTCCAAATTTTGGTTTTGGGCTTTTTTTGGTTTTGTTTAGGTTAGAAGACTCTTTGGAAGTCAACTTAAAGGATTTACTGTTCCTCCTTTTTTGGGAATTTTATTTCATAAACATAAGCTTTTTTTTTTTTGACATGGAGTTTCACTGTTGTTACCCAGACTGGAGTGCAATGGCGCGATCTCGGCTCACCGCAACCTCCGCCTCCTGGGTTCAAGCAATTCTCCTGCCTCAGCCTCCTGAGTAGCTGGGACTACAGGCGCGCACCACCGTACCCAGCTAATTTTTGTATTTTTAGTACAGACGGGGTTTCACCATGTTGACCAGGATGGTCTCGATCTCTTGACCTCGTGATCCACCCGCCTCAGCCTCCCAAAGCATAAACATTAGCTTTTTTTTTTTTTTGAGTTATAATTCAATCTTTATTTTAAAATCTAATCTGCCAGCTTAGCGTTTTCCACCAACTCGGGGAGCTGAAACTTCCACAGGCTTCACAGTCTTTTGCTTAGGTGCCTTGGCAGCAGCCATTGCAGTCTTTTTAGATGCTTGTTCAGCCTTTTTTGCTTCCTTGGCAGCCCTGATAGCTTGTTCTCGTTGAGCCTTTCTAACTTCAGGTTTCTGATTCCTCTTGGCCATTATATCAGCAAGAGATGCACCAGTAATGGCCCTCTGGAATTTGACTGCTCGGCGCGTTCTTTTCTTTTGAATTTCTTCCGACTGTCCCTTTTTGTGCTTTCTTCTGTAGAGGACAGTCCAGTTCATCTGCTGAGGATTCCTCTTGGAAAGGAACGCCGACTCGCATTTTGCATTAAGAAACTGAAAAACCTTCCCGTCGGTCCTGGCGTAGCGCCTCCCATGTCCGGGGGAGATCTTGTACCTGCTGAAACCGCACAGCTCGACCTTCATGGCAGCAGCACCATGGGAAGAGAAAAGATGGCAAAGAGCAAACATTAGCATTTTTAAAAACTCAAATATGTGGCCAGGAGTGGTGACTGACACCTGTAATTCCAGCACTTTGGGAGGCTGAGGTGGGTGTATCACTTGAGCTCAGGAGTTCTAGGCCAATGTGGCCAATATGATGAAACCCTGCCCCTACTAAAAATACAAATATTAGCCAGGAGTGGTGGCGTGTACCTGTAATCCCAGCCACTTGGGAGGCTGAGGCATGAGAATCACTCGAACATGGGAGGCAGAATTTGCAGTGAGCGGAGATGATGCCACTGCACTCCACCCTGGGCGACAGAGCAAGACTCTGCCTCAAAAACATACAAAAAAATTCGGATATGTGGATTTGGTAGAATATGTCATATACTTCTGTTTTGCGTGCTTGTTCGTTTTGAGACAGATTCTTGCTGTGTCACCCAGGCTGGAGTACAGTGGTGCGATCTCTGCTCACTGCAACCTCCACCTCCTGGTTTCAAGCAATTGTCATGCCTCAGCCTCCCAGGTAGCTGGGATTACAGGCGTGTGCCACCATGCCCAGCTAATTTTTATATTTTTAGTAGAGACAGGGTTTCACCGTGATGGGTAGACTGTTGGCCAGGCAGGTCTTGAACTCCTGACTTCAAGTGATCGGTCCCCTTCGGCCTCCCACAGTGCTAAGAGTATAGTTGTGAGCCACTGCTCCCAGCCAGAACATGCATGTACTTGTTAGGAATACCAGCACCAACCCCATTTTTCTCCCCACAGTCCCTGTTCCCTGGCTTCCAGCCTATCTCATTATCAACTCTCTATTCCTGTATAACAAATCACTGTATAACAAATCTCCCAAGCCTAGCAGCTTACAAGAGCCGATATTTATTATCTCACAGTTGCCTTGGATCAGGGTTCAGCACAGCTTAGCTGGGTCCACTGTTCAGAGTGTCACAGGGCTACAGTCAAGGTGTCAGCTGGGCTATGTTCCTATCCAGAGCTTGGGGTTCTCTCCCAGTGCTGTGTGGTTGATGGAAGAATTCACTTCCTGCAGTTGATGTACAAAGTGCCGGCTTTCTTGGCTGTCAATCGAGGCTACTCTCAGCTCTAGAGGCCACCAGCCCTCATGACATGATGGCAACTGGTGCCAGTGGGTGACTCTCTAGTAGGCTAAGGTGGAGTCTTAGATAACGACGTAACCATGGCAGTGATGACACCATCACCTTTGGCACAGTGCAAGTCACAGGTACTTCCTGGACTCAAGGAAAAAGGATTATACCCAGACATGACTCACTGGGGGTTGCCTGTGGGTGTGTGTGCCAAGTAAGTGATTTTGTCTCCTCTGGAGGGTCTCACTAGCCAGTCCCCTTTCCCTTGTCATTGACTTGCAGCAGCCACTTGACGGTTGCTAGCCCAGGAACATGCTCAAAGCTTGGGAACTTGTTTTCTTTTCATACTATGCCATAGAAACACTATGAAATTACTTTGTATACTTTAAAAAGTCCTTTTTTTTTGAGATGGAGTTTCACTCGTTACCCAGGCTGGAGTGCAATCTCGGCTCACCGCAACCTCTGCCTCCTGGGTTCAGGCAATTCTCCTGCCTCAGCCTCCTAAGTAGCTGGGATTATAGGCACGCACCACCATGCACAGCTAATTTTTTGTATTTTTAGTAGAGACGGGGTTTCACCATGTTGACCAGGATGGTCTCCATCTCTTGACCTCGTGGTCCACCTGCCTCAGCCTCCCAAAGTGCTGGGATTACAGGCGTGAGCCACTGCGCCCGGCCAAAAAGTCCTTTTGACGGTATCTAAAGTAAAATGTTTTTTAAGGAGAAAACTGGTAAAAAAAAAAAAAAAAAAAAAAATCCTAGAGCCTTTGAGAAGCAGAAGAGCCAACTTTGTTCTCTTCCCTCTTGTTAAAATTGTTTCCAGGCCTACTTTCTTTCGTCAGACAGTTCCACAAGTTGGGAGTGCGTCACTTCAGCTGTCAGAATGAGGGGATGAGAGTGAAGAGAAGCACAACTACTCTGAATTGGCTCAGACTGGAGGTGGCTTCTTATTCCATTCATGCTCCTTTTGTGACTATTATTCATATGATCTGGCCTCAGTCCACAGGGACTGGCAAATGTAGAGAGGAACATGGATATTTGTTGACTACATCTCCTTGGACACAGTGAAGTTCAGAATTCTGGGTTGGAATTCTTTTCTCTCTTGAATGTGGTAGGCACTGCTCTGTGTCTTCCAACTTCCATCTCCCAGATTGCTGCTGAGAAACCAGTTTAATTATTGACTTTTGTGTATGACTACTCCCTTTCTTCTGACCACAGAAACACATAGGATTTTCACTTTGTGTCCTGTTTCTACAGTCTGAATTATGTCCCCTTCCCCCTGCTCCACCAAAATTCATATAGGGAAGCCCTAACCACCAGTAATTCCGAATAGGACTGTATTTAGAGGTGGGGCCTTTAAAGAGGTACTTAAAGTGAAATGAAGTCTAATGGGCAGGTCCTAACCTAATATGACTGGTGTCCATGTAAGAAGAGGAGATGAGACACAGACAACACTGACCAAGGGAAGACACTACGAAGACACAACTGCGAGCCAAAGAGAGAAGCCTCAGGAAAAAACAAACCTGCTGTTACCTCAGTCTTAGACTTCTAGCATCCAGAACCATGAGAAAATACATTTCTGCTGTTCAAACCACCCAGTCTATGGTTTTTTGTTATGGCAGCTCTAGCAAACTAATGGATCAGTGTTTTGAAATTGCACAGGCCAGGCACAGTGGCTCACACCTGTAAGCAGCGCTTTGGGAGGCTGAGGCACGGGGATCACCTGAAGTCAAGAGTTAGCAGACCAGCTTAGCCCACATGGTGAAACCCCGTCTCTACTAAAAATTAGCCCAGGCATGGTGGCACGCACCTGTAATCCCAGCTACTCAGGAGGCTGAGGCAGGAGAATCGCTTTAACCTGGGAGGCAGAGGTGGCAGTGAGCCGAGATCGGGCCATTGCACTCCAGCCTGAGAGAGAGAGAGAGAGAGAGAGAGAGAGAGAGAGAGAGAGAGAGAGAGAGAGAGAGAGACAGAGGAGGAGGGAGGGAGGGAAGGAATTGCACATTTTTTTTTGATCACTCAAGTAATCTCTTACAGTCTGAGACTCATGTCCTTGGATTTCCTGGAATTACTTCATTGACGATTTCCTTTCATCTCTTTTCTTTGCTGCCCTTTGCAGATCTCCTGTTATTCGGATGTTAGACTTCTTATTCTGGTCTTTTCATTTTTTTCTTTTTATTTTCTAACTAACCTTTTTGCTCTGCTCACTGGGAGATTGGTGCAAATTTATCATCTAAACTTTCTCTGATTTTTTAATTTTACTATTATATATGGTTCACATTTCCTAAAGCTCCCTTTTTTTTTTTTTAATTTTTTATTGGATTTTAGGTTTTGGGGTACATGAGCAGAGCATGCAAGACAGTTGCATAGGAACACACATGGCAGTGTGCTTTTCTTTCCTTCTCCCCTTCACTCACATTTGGCATTTCTCCCCAGGCTATCCCTCCCACTGGCCCTCCCCTTTTCCCCCCAATAGACCCCAGTGTTTAGTACTCCCCTTTCTGTGTCCATGTGTTCTCATTTTTCATCACCCGCCTATGAATGAGAATATGCGGTGTTTCATTTTCTGTTCTTGTGTCAGTTTGGGGAGGATGACGTTCTCCAGATTCATCCATGTCCCTACAAACGACACGAACTCATCATTTCTGATTGCTGCATAATATTCCATGGTGTATATGTGCCACATTTTTCCAATCCAGTCTATTATCAATGGGCATTTGGGTTGATTCCAGGTCTTTGCTATTGTAAACAGTGCTGCAATGAACATTCGTGTACATGTGTCCTTATAGTAGAACGATTTATAGTCTTTTGGATATATACCCAGTAATGGGATTGCTGGGTCAAATGGAATTTCTATTTCTAAGGCCTTGAGGAATCGCCACACTGTCTTCCACAATGGTTGAACTAATTTACACTCCCACCAACAGTGTAAAAGTGTTCCTTTTTCTCCACATCCTCTCCAGCATCTGTTGTCTCCAGATTTTTTAATGATCGCCATTCTAACTGGCGTGAGATGGTATCTCAATGTGGTTTTGATTTGCATCTCTCTGATGACCAGTGACGATAAGCATTTTTTCATGATTGTTGGCCTCATATATGTCTTCTTTCGTAAAGTGTCTGTTCATATCCTTTGCCCACTTTTGAATGGGCTTGTTTGTTTTTTCCCTGTAAATCCGTTTGAGTTCTTTGTAAATTCTGGATATCAGCCCTTTGTCAGATGGGTAAACTGCAAAAATTTTTTCCCATTGTGTTGGTTGCCGATCCACTCTAGTGACTGTTTCTTTTGCCGTGCAGAAGCTATGGAGTTTGATTAGGTCCCATTTGTCTATTTTGGCTTTTGTTGCCAATGCTTTTGGTGTTTTGTTCATAAAGTCCTTGCCTACTCCTATGTCCTGGATAGTTTTGCCTAGATTTCCTTCTAGGGTTTTTATGGTGCCAGGTCTTATATTTAAGTCTTTAATCCATCTGGAGTTAATTTTAGTGTAAGATGTCAGGAAGGGGTCCAGTTTCTGCTTTCTGCACATGGCTAGCCAGTTTTCCCAACACCATTTGTTAAACAGGGAATCCTTTCCCCCTTGCTTGTTTTTGTCAGGTTTATCAAAGATTGTATAGTTGTAGATATGTTGTGTTGCCTCCGGTGCCTCTGTTTTGTTCCATTGGTCTATATCTCTGTTTTGGTACCAGTACCATGCTGTTTTGATTACTGTAGCCTTGTAGTATAGTTTGAAATCTGGTAGTGTGATGCCCCCCGCTGTGTTCTTTTTGCTTAGAATTGACTTGGCTATGTGGGCTCTCTTTTGGTTCCATATGAAGTTCATGGTGGTTTTTTCCAGTTCTGTGAAGAAAGTCAATGGTAGCTTGATGGGGATAGCGTTGATTC